TTTGCCGTTTGATATGTAAATAATATACAATATATAAACTATAACTAGCAACAAGTGTCGTACCTGTCTGTAATGTTCACTTAATACCTGCGTGATGTATAGATATATTCAGATATATATTACTGTTATCATTGTATTTAGATACAATGATATTGTTTGTTTGTTGTTTTTGCTGAGTGCGGTTTTAAACACAAATAAACAAACAAACAATATCATTGTATTTTAATATGATTTCAATATTATTATTTACGATCTAACTTACTACATATTTTACATATGAAACGTTTTATATTTAAATGCCACCATAAATAAAAATTATTGCTTGTAAACTCAACACAAATCACAAATATTCTATAACACATGATTGTAAACTATTAATGTACATTGAACAAAATATATACTGTAAATGCCAAAATGATGTAGCAAAGGATCGATTAGATTGGTTTGTTTGTGTTTTACGCCGCACTCAGCAATATTGCAGCTATATGACGGCGGTCTGTAAATAATCGAGCCTGGACCAGACAATCCAGTGATTCGATTAGAAGATATATTGACAGTAGCACTTGGAGTTTATGTGGTACGGCAATTAGAACACTGCTTTTGGTCAAAAGTTTGTTTCCTCCGAAATGCGTGTGTCACTGGTTGCACCCAAATGACGAACGGGGTACACACCCGTGTTAAACGCGTTGCACGCAGATGTCACGCGAGGCGGATGGGGTACACACCCGTGTTAAACGCGTTGCACACAGATGTCACGTGAGGCGGATGGGTTCCACACGAGTGACCAACGGGGTACACACTATTTGCGTCACGGTTGCCCATGCGTGTAAGAGGAATGAACCTCTAGGCAGTAGGGTAAGTTGATGATTACATACATGTTGAACAAAGTATTTCAACCAGAAGAAACAAGAGTGGTTCGCTTCGTGACTGAAAAAAACATTCCCATTCCAAAGGAACTGAAAAACCCGACATGTTAATGAACAATAGAAATAACAACACGAAATCCCACGTTAATCTTCAAAATCTCTATATCCCTAACATGCATGGGCCGCGTCTTCCTTGCCCCCACGCCCCCACCCCACAGCATCACCTGATACCAGGCTGGCATTGTGTCCGGGATGCTTGTGTTGCCACGATGTACAATGTATGTATGTATGTATGTATGTATGTATGTATGTATGTATGTATGTGTATGTGTGTGTGTGTATGTATGTATGTATGTATGTATGTATGTATGTATGTATGTATGTATGTATGTGTATGTGTGTGTATGTATGTATGTATGTATGTATGTATGTATGTATGTATGTATGTATGTATGTATGTATGTGTATGTGTGTGTGTGTGTGTATGTATGTATGTATGTATGTATGTATGTATGTATGTATGTATGTATGTATGTATGTGTATGTGTGTGTATGTATGTATGTATGTATGTATGTATGTATGTATGTGTGTGTGTGTGTGTGTGTGTGTGTGTATGTATGTATGTATGTATGTATGTATGTATGTATGTATGTATGTATGTATGTATACAAACTTAAGTTGCTGTTAGCATTTCAAACCAGGACATAGCACAGCTTGTTTGAAGATAGGTCTTAATGCACTGTGTCTTGAGAGTGTCTTGAAGGCATCGTGATTGTCCTTCGGGTGATATTTTTCGATGAATATGGACGATGTGTCACTGTCCTGACTTGAACTTATTGCAGTTTTTTCATACTTTAAACATACTTATGTTTCCTTAATTCTACGAATTCTATTGCAGTATGCATATTCAACAACTGACCTTAGTGTGTGTGTGTGTGTTGGGGGTGGGGGGGGTGTACACACACCGCGAATACCATACGTGTTGCCTTACTCATAAACGAACATACGCATCACACGTGACGTCATAGATCCAAGAAGTACCAGAATCGTGCAGAATTCGCGTGTTAAGTTTGGAAATCACGTGCAGCATATCGTGATAAGAATAAAGACACTCTGTGGTAACACGAGACTGATTGTTAGTTTTGTCATTAAGTGGTACACATTGGAAACATCCCTTCATAACGTACATGTACATACTTCTTTACATATTTCTATGGTTCGCGTTTCTTTTGGCGATGAGTATCTGTCTCTCTCTCTCTGTGTCTGTCTGTCTGTCTGTGTTTGGTGCGTGTGGACATTTGTCATATTGGTGCCTGATCAATCGAGGTAGTACAAAACAAGAACAAAATATCTAAGGTACATGGATGAATGTGAGTAGGTGTACATGTCTCTAAACAACTGCACACAAATATGGACAAATATTCGAAACGCTAGATACGCTGCCTCACTGAAATATTGTTACATTGTTTGATTCGGAAACTAAAGGGACGAGAGACAGAAACATGTGCCAACATATTGCAAATATCAGTTTTAAAAGCGAATACGAGGGTAGAAAAAGCAATTCCGGTTTCAATATTACTGTCAATCATGAACCTTTGCAGTTTTGAGAAAGGACTCAAACGTTACAATACATAAATGTGTTTGGTATTTGAAGTTTGCCACTTCTATCAAGGACTTTCAAATCAAGTCATTCACATTCCTTGTTTCCCCATACAGAAGGACTGAATAGAAAGCAGAATTCTGTTTTAACACCAAGTCATATTTTCTGCTTCTTTTCACGCAAACCTTCCGAATAATGTTATGTGAAAATAATGGTGCAAAGTTATCATGATTTAAGTTTCTGACAATCAAGAATTAAACCGCATTTTTTACCGCACGTTTACCGCACGTTTACCGCATCATTACCGCAATCAAACATAATACCATGTTGTACTATAGGCGTGCTAACACTGAATGAGCTTCTCTTCTGTACACAATGTATAGAGTAGTGATAGAAAAGAAAACCACGGATCGTGTTCACTGTGAGTGTAACATGTACATAAACGAATTCAAGAAGTAATATATATATATATATATATATATATATATATATATATATATATATATATATATATATATATATATATTACTGACAGTGACAGTTAAGGTACATGTTCGAAGTCCATATTAAAAGGTTGAAAAGAAAATGTGTTTCACTTATCGCCATGTTTGTTTCCCATGTATTTTGGACAAATGTTGGACAGAATCAAGAATTTTCGCGTCGTTGTGTGTATAGACTATACTTCCGCACTTGATGTGATCAGAGTGTGTGATCCCTATAGTCCCATCTCATTTTCGGACAAGAAAGTCAGTTCGATTATATGTTTGTTACAGTTATGTAATTAAAGTGTGTGTTTGAGTGAGTAAGCTTGATTAACGACGTTGGTGACGTCACTTTGGTGAAACCCACTAGCAAGGATGCTTCGTTGACAAACCTAGAAACGTACTCAGGTTCAACCTAGGATGAATCAGTTGGAACATAAACAGTCGGGCAAAAGAAAGAATTTGGATTTGACCAAAAAGTATAAACGTTATGAAGACGTTACTAGGTTACACAAACCGTCCCCGAAATACCTCAGACTGAGGGTCCAAAACACAACTATGATACCCGTATGACATACGTCATCATTGAATAATCATTTTGTTTGTTTCGTTCAAATAACCATCAAACAAACATGGGTGCATACTTTCTTTTGCCAACCAGTTTACTTATATTTCTATATTAAATCACCCCTGTAATTACCCCATTGAAATATACCTTTCAGTAAAACTGAATAAGGTGTCAATATAGTTGCCCTCCCCCCTCCCCCCCCCCCCCCCCCTCTCCTCCCCCTGAAGATGGAAACAGGCCGCTACACCAACCTATCCCTGGATCAAAGAAGATGTTATAACTGTCCTGACCAAATAACACGAATCTAATGCTTTATTTCATTCTCCTCACTTTACTGCGATGACAGAACTCAACTATTGAAAATACTGTGAAAATGTTTTTTGTTTTTTACCTATATAGTGAAACGGATAAAGTAAGTGTTATCCTGCCCCCCTTTTATGCTATGCTGCTACCAAAACCTGTTACTTTATTCTCATACGCAGAAAATGTATGTTACATATCAAACAGTGATTTTAATGCCATATCATTCTTTGAAATTGTGAAATGTATATATGTTTATATATTTATTCATTTTATCGTCATTTCAAAGCGTTGTATTTGCATTGAAGAGCGGCTCGTTACAAAATTTACTCAATAGTTTTATGTGTTTACTATGCCATGTGTATTGTGACGAGGTGAGACGTAAATAAACAATCCCTGACATAGAAACGAAATCATTCACTGATTCAGGATGTTGGCCAAGTGAGTCACGAAAAGGTGATCATACGACAGTTGACCAGCCCCAAACAACGTACAACAAGTACCGTGCGACGAATGTAAACATTGTTAGTGTGTGGGGCCGCCCAGGGGGACACTTTTAGACCTTACGCATTAATAAAACAAGACGACGTTATCTCAGAAATTCTGTAAATTCGACTATATATAATATTTAACGGAGTGATATTGAATCACGCAGGTAATATTGCTTTGTGAGAGACATTTCGACATATAAAAAGAGCAGTGATGTATCTTTGCTTGCCGTTCTGATTCATATGGGGGGGGGGGGGGGGCACCGGTGGCCAGTCGTTGTGCAGAGTTGCGTCCCTTGGGCACGCCAGAAACCTATGATTCAGAGTTCGAATCCCGGTTCGCCCTGATTATGTTTCTAGGTTTGTCAGCACCATACCCGTGCTCGAGACCTGCACAACGTCTGGCTTTCCTCCTACATTAAGGGGCGGTCGGGTAGCCTAGTGGTTAAAGCGTTCGCTCGTCACGCCGAAGACCCGGGTTCGATTCCCAACATGGGTACAATGTGTGAAGCCCATTTCTGGTGTCCCCCGCCGTGATATTGCTGGAATATTGCTAAAAGCGGCGTAAAATCAAACTCACTCACTCCTAAATTAAGCTGGCACGCCGTGATATAACTGTAATACTGTTAAAAGCGGTGTTTAACCCAACTCACTCACTCACTCACTCACTCTTATTCATATGCTTTTTTTCAGGACGTGTTTCCAACACAGCTGTAAGCTAGCATTCAATTAATTGTCTCAGAGGGACAATGATAAGTCACCAGGATATCACGAAGAGTTTAAGATGTTGAACTGATCCCCACCCACACAGCCCCAGGCAGCGGTAATGACAAAGCAAGCGTTTAATGTTGTAGTGTTCGTTTGTTTGTTTGTTGTTTAACGCCACACTCATCAATAGTCCAGCTATATGACGACAGTCTGTAAAAAAACATTGACTACTAATTTCTTCTCTCATTTTGCAATTTAAATCATTTCCATTTTTTTCCATTTCTTCGAAACTGTTTATTAAAACGTAAACATGACCACACGGTAATGAGTCTGTTGAATGTTACCCTGTGAGATCTGTCACATCTATCACTAATTTGATGCTTGCTCCATGTTTAATTTTTACCAATCTCCTCCACAAGTTATTAGAAACAGAAAACAAACATGTGCATTCCCCTTTCATCCCCTCCTCCATGCATGCAAAATGTAAAACATATACTTAGTGAGATTTGTATGTAATCCATACAATACATTAATGTTCATTCATCAAAATATCCATGGGTGTTGGTAATTGTCCCTCAATTGATAGGGAATTGCGGAGTTGGTTTGTTGGTTGGTTTCTTGTTTAACGCCGCACTCAGCAATATTCCAGCTATATGACGGCGGTCTGTAAATAATCAAGTCTGGACCAGACAATCCAGAGATTGACATCGTGAGCATCGATCAACGCAATTGGGATACAATGATATGTATCAACCAAGTCAGCGAGGCTGACCATCCGATCTCGCTAGCCGCCTCTTACAACAAGCTTAGTCGCCTTTTAATAAGTCGTGTCGTAAATAATGTTAAAACAAGCCACAAAACCCTGTCCATCATTATGAGAAGCAAGTGTTTAGTGATCGCTATCATGACCTGGTACCAGGTGTAAATAATAGCGACAAAATATTTCCATTATCATAAATAAACGAGACAAAACTCTTTCCATTTTCATAAGAAATCTGCTTTAGAGTCGACAGCACAATTCCGACTTTATTATGAGCATGAATCCTTATGAAATACTGATAATACCAGGTGTTCCTGAAAAGTTGCCAGTCACAAACACATGCAAAGGAAAGTCAATGGTTCATCTTAAAAAAACATGGGAACATATGGTACAAGTCGAAATAGGCAATTGAATCGGACATATGGAAGATGTCCCCCACATGTCCACTATAAGAAACCTCTGCTACAATTTGAGTCTACTGTGCGATTCCAGCTATATCACGAGCATGTATTTATGAATCGCTAAACTCTGATCAAACACCCTTTGAGCAATTCAAAAGCGCAAGGACTAAATACATTCACACATCATACACATATACATACCACTGACATAGGCACAAGTACACATTCATATGTACATATATACCATTAGCAGACATTCATATGTACATACATACCATTAGCAGACATTCGTATGTACAAACATACCACAAACACACATTCATATGTATGTACATATATACCATAAGCACACATGCATATTTACGTACATACCACAAACAGACATGCATATGTATATACATAGCACAAGCACACATTCATATGTACATACATACCATAAGCACACATGCATATGTACATACATACCACACGCACACATGCATATGTATATACATACCACAAGCAGACATGCGTATGTACATACATACCATAAGCACACATTTATATGCACATACATACCATTAGCAGACATTTGTATGTATATACATACCATAAGCACACATGCATGTGTACATACATACAACAAGCAGACATTCGTATGTACATACATACCACAAGCACACATTCATATGTACATACATACTATAAGCAGACATGCATATGTACAAACATACCACAAGCACACATGCATATGTATATACATACCACAAGCAGACATTCGTATGTACATACATACCACAAGCAGATATTCATATGCACATACATACCATAAGCACACATGCATATGTACATACATACCATAAGCACACATTCATATGAAAATACTTACCACACATGTACATGCATACCACAAGCAGACATTCGTATGTACATGCATACCACAAGCACACATGCATATGTATATACATACCACAAGCACACATTCATATGTACATACATACTTATGTGCATAATTCATATCACTTTACATAGACGTTAACAAACATTGCATTACATAGCACACTGTGTTTCTTCCCAATACAGGATATTTACCATCCCCAAACCCACAATCGTGACAACCTCTTTATCTTGTAATGTCATTCTTGAATTATTTCATCGAAAAGTCTATTCCCATCTCTCAAACTGTACCTTAATACTGCAAATGTTCCTTAACGTGCAAATCAACATATTACGTCACAAGACCAGTGCTGAGTCAAATGACAGTGACAACAGGCACAAAAGTTTCAACTGAGACTTGTTTTTTGAACACAGATTTTTGTATGTTAGACTATTATTTGGTAATGATAACAAGCACGACAAAGGATGACTCCGATTTCTCTTCCTGTTAAACAATGCACCGTCACCAGCTTATGGTGTGTGCATTCTTCAAATGCTTAGGTGTGTTAGAGCGTGTAATTTTAAATTTCATGGAAAAACCAATAACGCTTACAACTAAACTTTTCAAGACGTTTTCAGCACCAAATTTCTGTTCAATCTTCAAGATATTTTATGGTAAACTTTCAGAGAAATTGTTTAAAACTGAAACGTCGCCTCTCAAGATGATACGCGATGCTATGATATCCCATGGAAAGACCGTTTATGCTTACAACGCGGGATTTTTCAATCAAAGGTTTCAGCATCAAATGCCTGATTAAGTCATCCTGAGATTTTATGGTAGACTTTCAGAGGAACTGATAAAAACCGACACATCGTTTCTCAAGATGATACGCAATGCTATCCAATACAATAATCTTTCACGCCGCTTTACTCACTGGCACCTAGTATGTTTTAAGTGGCGGGTGAGCTACCGTGTAATAGAGCGTGACACCTTGTGTCATCAATGATTTTCAGTGAAACATTCACATAATTGTCATAACTATATTGCCCTTTACGCCCTATGGAAACTGTATCGGCAGATAGTCGAGACTAATTATTCTCTGGCATGAGCTTTTTTGAATTTCTTGAAACGGCACGATTTGTCTAGCTCTCTTGTCTTACCTACGAAAGTGAAGAGGTGTTCATTTTTAGAGTAAAATTATTTAGCTCATAATTCAGTTTTCGGGGAATTTACAGTTCTTGTTAATGAATAACTCTTTTATCCTGAAAATTGTTGGCATGAAAACGAGTTTAATGGGTCATTACAAGACATGCTTGACGTATCTTCCTGGTCCCTAAACGTAACGTGATTGGTTGAAATTGTCAGCACATGCACAAACAGCTGGTGGTCTTAATAATCTTATAAACAGGACCCTGGGTTGAGTACCCAGGGTGGTTCATGGTAACATCGGAATGCGATCTATTTCGAAACTTTTCCTCGGGAGGAATAAGAATTTTGATGAATCCGGTTAACCTACTTCGCGGCTTCACGTAACTCGTCCTGTTGTGCAAGTCTCGAGTTTATAATTTGGACAGAGAGTTTCTGTCGTGGTCATGTGCACCAAATGAAATAGCTAATAATGATTACATTGCTTTGTCATCGTGCCCGGCGTTTTCTGTTAAATGTAACATTATATCTATGAAAGGCAAGGGCAAGATTCACTGGAAAAGATATGTGTTTAGTCCTAAACACAAACCTAGGCGCGATCCTTGTCCCGTACTTTCAAAGCATCTTGGGTATTCAAGGTTGTGTTTAACAGCTGAACGTGGGATAGATCTAGACCTGTACCCACCCCACCCCACCCCAACTCCCCCACCACTTGAAATTGATTGGATGTAATTATTGAAAAAGGGGCGCCTTATATATTTATGTGTTTTAGCATTTAATGGGGGTATTGGCGTGTCATTGATTTCGTTCCGTTTCCGTCCGAGTTTAATAATTTACTTTCAATCATTATTTTTTGTTAACACAACACTTTTAAAAACAGCGAGATATGAATCTACAACCTCTTGATTTGATGTCCTTCACGCTACCACTCACGTTTTCTACTCACCATGATCTTACCTTGGTTTATTTGTACATAATTTTAGTAATATTGTAACAACTTCGTTGAATGCCCTGATGTAATATTTGTTTTGCGAGTACCTCTGATTGTACATTTGATTCTAATTTATATTATACATCTTTATCATATTTGAGTTAATGTCCAATGAAAAGCACTGTGTTTAAATTCTAAATTTTGTTCGAATCGTGGTGGCATGTTTAATTAAAGGGATCAGAAAGATATGCATGTACAATGAAAACTGATGACAAAGCGGTTTTACACAGGTTTCGAAAATTAAATTGTATGATGTCGACTTATTACTGAAACAAAAATGATGCCTCATCTCACGTGGAGACTAGCTGGGAGGAACGTTGAGCTGATGCAGTGAGACAATGTGCTGCCGGTGGTTTGTTTGTTTGTTTGTTTGTTGTTTAACGCCTCATTCAGCAATATTCCAGCCCGTGTGCGAAATACGCATCAGTCGGAAAGCGCACGTTAAATCTCCAAAGTAAGTAAGTAATATTCCAGCTATATGGAGGCGGTCTGTAAGCAATCGAGTCTGGACCAGACAATCCAGTGATTGACAACATGAACATCGATCCACGCAATTTGGATCGATGACATGCATCAACTAAGTCGGCGAGTCTGACCACCCGATTCCGCTAGTCGCCTATTACGACAAGGATAGTCGCCTTTTACAGCCAGCATGGGTGGCTGAAGACCTATTCTACCCCGAATCTTCACGGGCTATGGGAAGTATGGAAGCGCAATGTATGTCTTTTGAAATACATTATGATAACAATACAGAGGATGTATTTTTATAACATTTTTCGATCATCTTCGGGGTATTAATTTCGATGCATTAAACGTAAAGATGTTTCGGAAAACATTTCCATCATCAAAATACGAATGCATTGAAAATATGACCATAAACACAATGAAAAAGGTAATAGTAATTCTTAAGGATGTTGATACCCCGGTTACACCTCAGTGAACACATGACTCATTCCAGCAT